CTTACGCCTATTAACTCTCCATTGCTGTGCATCCAGGAACAACTCCCTTGGCTCCTCCCCACTGCTCCAATGCACGATGTCAGGATCACTCTCCCTTGTCTCCTCCCCACTGGTCCAAGGCTCAGGTGCCTCCTGGTGGCCAACCAGCCTCTTTGTGCCCTGCTCGGAGTCGGAACCCTGTCCAGGGCCCTCCACATCCTCCAGAGCGGACTCATAGGGTCCCTCGCTGTCGGAGTCTGGTGGTAGCTCCAACGGCTCCTGCTGGGCCACAACTGTTCCTTCTCTTCCTCATCATCCACCTCCAGACCATGGGGCTGTTGACTCACCAACTGAGGGCTGATGGCTGGCTCAGGTCCCACCTCTGTTTCTCTTTCTAGCAGCTACATTCCTTCTTCCCCCTCGGAGCCCTCAGGTTGCCTTGATGCTGACCCTGACTCCCACGCCTCTTCCTCCTCATCTGATTCGGCTGCTGGAGGGACCGGTGGCTGACAGACTACAACACTGGGATGCTACAACCATCTTAAATACATGCTAGCTGCCTAGTGCTGAATTTTGATCACATGACTGTGGGAATGATGCAACAGTCATAAATACGAAGACCGATTATAAGCAACTTTTTTTTAGTACCTCTGCAACTATGAATGGTCACTAAACAAGTGATTGTAAGTGGAGTACTACCTCCGTGGCAGGGGTCTCCAAACGTTGCAACTTTTAAGACTTGTGGACTTCAACTCCCAGAATTCCTTAGCTGTGCTGGCTGAGGAATTCTGGGAGTTAAAAGTCCACATGTTTTAAAAGTCACCAGATTTGGAGACCCTTTCCCTATGGCATTGCAGCCAGGGGCAGCTTGTATGAATGCAGAAAACATGGAACCTATTTTAACCAATCTTTCCTTCCTATTTTAGTTCAGCAAATCCAGACTGGAGAAAAACCATGTAAACACAGGCAACCCAGAAAGGACTTGGGAGATCTTCCTTCCCTCGAAAGGTTCCACCCCGCAGGAAAAACATACCCCTGTGTGGAGTGTGGAAAGAGCTTCAGTGAAAAGCGATCCTTGACTGATCATCAAAAGAGCCACCCTGAAGAGAAACAGCACAAATGCTTGGAGTGCGACAACAGTTTCCACACCAACAGCCAACTTGCTTCTCACAAAAGGACCCACGCCAGGAAAAACACGTACACCTGTAAGCTGTGTGGAATGAGCTTCAGAATGAGGAGTTTGCTTACTTTCCACGGCAGGATTCACTCAGGGGAGAAACCGTATAAATGCATGGAGTGTGGAAAGAGTTTCAGGTGGACCAGCGATCTTACGTCTCATATTAGGATCCATACGGGGGAGAAACCCTACAAATGCCCAGAGTGCGGAAAGAGCTTCAGCAGGAGCAGTTCCCTTACCTACCACAAAAGGATCCACACAGGGGAAAAGCCCTACACATGCCCGGAATGTGGGAAGCGTTTCAGCGACTGCAGTGCTCTGTGTTCTCATAAAAGGAGCCATTCCTCAGAGAAACCCTATCAATGCACTGACTGCGGGAAGAGCTTTGGCAAGAACAGCTTTCTCATCTCACATAAAAGGCTCCACACTGGGGAGAAACCCTATCAATGCTCAGACTGCGGGAAAAGCTTCAGCCAGAGCAGCCACCTGACTTCCCACAAAAGGCTCCACACGGGAGAGAAACCCTATCAATGCACAGACTGCGGGAAGAGCTTCAGCCAGAACAGCCATCTTACTTCCCACAAAAGGCTGCACACGGGAGAGAAACCCTACAAATGTACCGTGTGCGAAAAGAGCTTCAGCAACAGCAGTTCCCTGACTTCGCATAAAAGGGGCCATACGGGGGAGAAACCTTATCAATGCATGGAGTGTGGGAAGATCTTCAGCCAGAGCAGTCACCTCACTTCCCACAAAAGGCTCCACACGGGAGAGAAACCCTATCGATGTGCAGAGTGTGGGAAGATCTTCAGGTTGAGTAGTGAGCTTACGTCCCACAAAAGGATCCACACAGGGGAGAAACCCTATAAATGCTGGGAATGCGGGAAGAGTTTCAAACAGAGCAGCCAACTTACATCTCATAAAAGGACCCATATCAGGGGGAAAAATATATAAATATATTGAATATAGCAATAGAAGAGCACTTAGACTTATATACTGCTTCACAGTCTTTTACAGCTGTCTCTAAGTAGTTTACAGAGTCAACCTATTGCCCCCAACAATCTGGATCCTCATTTTACCCACCTCGGAAGGATGGAAGGCTGAGTCAACCTTGAGCCTGGTGAGATTTGAACTGCCAAATTGCAGTCAGCCGGCAGTCAGCAGAAGTAGCCTGCAGTACTGCATGCTAACCACTGCGCCACCCTGGCTCTGGAATTTAGAACTGGGATACATATTGTTGGCCTCAGGGCTGTTGTATTGTGTGTTTTATTGTTGGTTTTTGAGCCAATTGGAATCGCTGTTTGCAAATTGGGTGGCTTTATAAATCATTTAAAAAAACAACAATAATAGTCGTCGACTTAAGATCACAGTTGAGCCCCAGATATCAGTTGCTAAACGAGACATTTGTTAAGTGACTTTTGTATCATTTACACTCTTTTTTTGGCTGTAGTTGTGAAGTGAATCACCACACTTGTTAAGTTAGTAACACAGTTGTTAAGTGAATCTGGCTTCCCCATTGAGTTTGCTTGTCAGGCCACAAAATGAGATCACCTGACCCTGAAACACTGCAATTGTCATAAATATGAGACAGTTGCTAAGTATCTGGATTTTGATCAGGAGACCATGGAGATGCTGCAGTGGTCATAAATCACTTTTTCAGTGCCCTTGTATAACTTCGAATGGTGACTAAGCAAATGACTAAGTTGAGGGCAGCCTGTATTGTGGTGTGCTCTACTCTCTTATGTTTTCAACTTTTATTAATGTTTCCATTTGTTTTTGTAAAATGTGGTTCTATAAATAATTGAAATAATAATAATTTCTAAATTTATCGGACTTGAACATTCTGATTCTATTCTGATCCTCCGACGTTACCTTAACAGTTCCTAGGTCCTTGGTTAGGACTCGAGCTGTTGAGCTAC